TTGCAGAAAATAAGTCAATGACCAGAAATGTGGGCAAAATTACAATGTGAAATGCCAATTGTGGTCTGGGAAGAATGGTGTGAGAGAGTATCCTGCCAAGAACTAAGTAAAGATGCTGCTGTCAGAGCAAATAAACCAAGGCAAGGAAGAATTTGATACCCTGGTTCATAAATGATGTTCTGTTGGAAAGTATCACCATGGAAGCGATATTTTCAAACATCACAGTATATTTCAATGAGGCAACCAAACATAAATCATTTTAATTAATGGTGCAAAGAAAGCATATTAAAATTAAACTACTCCTGTTTTATTGGCCATTCAAAAAATATCAGGCTGCTCTGAAGGTAACTTAAGAAAAGACACCACACCAGAAGTCCTCCTCAACAATAATACAAAATGTTATTCTTATTTAGCAAGAGTAGCACAGCTATTGCTGGCTAAGAAAATGATTCTAGACTGCATCATCATGAACCTCAACTTACAAACTGGCCTTTAAAAAGTTAAGTTTAAATGGTCTTTCTAAACTAAGATTCATAAGACGTTTTTGCAATGTTCTACATGTACTGAAGCAATGTGAACTTTTAATCCCCTGAGGCTAGAGAAGTTTGGCCAAGGACACTGAGGCTGAGTGAATATTTGTCTTTTTTAGCATACCAGAGATTTGCAGCTCTCTAACCATCATGACCACTGAAGAAAGCCTTGATTTCTCACAAGTCTAGCCTTGCATCTGTAATGTGGTACAGTAGCATTTAGTTATGTCAAAGGATGTATCTCTACCAAGGTCATTGCTGCTATCCTGGTGAGTGAGACAACCTACCATAAACTCAACATATCCTCTGCTAAATAATAATGAAAGGCTACATTTTCTGATATCACATTCATCATTCAGTGCATAGTAAGCTTTCGTATAACCCTCCAATCTTCTCTTAAATTTAAGAAGGGAAGAAAAGGCGCTACTGATATCTTTGTTAAAAGGAAAACAGTTATGGAGGCTGAATGTGAAGATACTTGGTAAGTAGGGCACAAACTTACACAGGTGGTAAGAAATGGCATTACATAAAAAGAAGAAACTTATCCAAGCACCAGTGGATCACAGATGTAATCCTAGCTACTCATGAAGCTGAGATCTGAAAATTGTGGTTCAAAGCCAGCCCCTGTAAGGACTTCTGTGAGACTTTTATCTCCAATTACCACAAAAAAACAGAAGTGAAGCTGGCTCACGTGATGGAGTGTTAATCTTAAACACAAAAGCTCAGAGACAGTGCCCAAGCTCTGAGTTCAAGCCTCAAGACCTACACCAAAAAAAAAAGGAAAACAAAAAGATGAAGAGAAGCTTTCTACTTATGGGGGAATTAAAAAGGTCAATCTCTAGTTTTTCAAGCGATTCAATGGGTTTGTATCTAAATTTGAATACATATATACTGTTCATTTTTGCTAGCAATATTACCCTGAAAAGCCTTCCAATAGAACCCTGGTGTGGAATAATTGTAGTAAAACAGATGCCTTAGACACTTCTGAAAATTGTAAACACATTTCATCCAAAAAAGTTACTCAGATGCAGAAAATGCATTTTATTCCGTCAATAAAGTATTCATATACCTACTTCACACTTATTCTTCTCAGTACCAAAGGATTATTCTAATTCTATGTCGTAAAAATTCAATAGCTCTATTCAGTGCTTTCCAACTCAGGAATATCAGATGATTCGGAAAACACATTCAGTTCTCATTGATCTTACAACGAATTGTTACAAACTTAGTGCTTTAAAACAACAGAAACACATGCATTTTATTTTGCTTCTGAAAGTCAGGATTCTGAACTGAATCTTTTAGGGTTAAACATCAGGTATTAGCAGATCTGGTTCCTTCTGCAGCTTCAGAAGGCAATATGCTCCTTGTCTTTTCCAGCATTCCTTAGCTTGTGGCTGCATCACTAATTTGTTTCTATTACCCATCTCCTCTTCCATTGTCAAGTTTTCTTCTGCATTCCTGTTATAAAAACTCATGACTGCATTTAGGATCCACCTAGTCCATCCTGAACAATCTTCATATCTCAAAAACCTTCATTTGATCTCATCTGCAAAGCCATTTTTGTCATATCTGGTTACATTCACAGATTTTAGAGATAAAGTCCTGGAGATATTTAGGAATCTTTATTGATCTGACCAAAGGAGCCTTTTCCATATTGCACTGATCTCTGCCAGGTCTCACTCCACCCACCCTTTCCTTTCTGGGAGAATCCATACTATCAAAAGCCTGACAGCCACTGCTTGAAAGACTTTGTGTTACTGAGGTACAAGAATAAATAACTCTGAAAAATCAAGGTCCAAAATGTAAGTCATAGTATCATCCCTGAATTGTTGATAGATTCCTATGTAATTTTACTCTCTGAACAATATATTATTTGATCATTTCCTAAATTATTATCCACTGTATCTTATTTCAATAGTATATAAGATATCAAATCACTGAACTGGGAACATGAGACATATGTTGATGTTTCTGTTCAAGACAGGTCTTGATAATCACTCTTAAGCAGATCATGTCTGTGGAGGGGCACGGTAGACACCTTCTAAATGTGCCTAAGAACAGAGGCTATGAGCTTCTTGAGCAGGTTTCAAGTGAAAGAGAGGGGTATAAATACTTAGTGACTGTACTTAAAATATATTCAAATACAAAGAAATGCATATAATACCAAGCCAAAATAAATGTTATTTAATTTCCCAGTGTCAAAATGTCTGTGGGCTTGGAGGTATGATTCAAGTGGTAGATTATTTGCCTGGAAAGAATGAGACCCTGAGTTCTAAATACACACACACACACACACACACACACACACACACACAAAGTTACATTATCAGTAACCGTATACAATCAAAATCATACTATCAGTAGTATTTTAATGCTGCTAAAAATGATTTAAATGGCCACCCGCTAATTTCATCCTTGTACAAATGTATTCTGTAAAAGTAACAAAACAAACATCTTGCAATTGTACTGCACCACCAGTTTTAAATACTCAACAACTTTAAAAAACAAAACAAATCAGTTTCCCTTTCCTGTTCTTCTCATCGATTCATTTTTTCATTTTTTCATTGTACTGCACCACCAGTTTTAAATACTCAACAACTTTAAAAAACAAAACAAATCAGTTTCCCTTTCCTGTTCTTCTCATCGATTCATTTTTTCATTTTTTCATTTTTCTCCAGCCCACTTCCTTTCTCTTTAAGACTCAATCACCTATACTTTGCTAGAACTACTTTGCTCTGCCCATAATAGGTTGAACTGCCACTGGCTTCTCACTTCAATTGTCAATAGAACTTAGTTGGACAGTCTTAATTTCCATCAAGACCAGAAATGGGCACTAGTGTACAGCAAATAAAAACTCTTTTCATGCAGTAATACAGAACATATTTGTCCACTGCCTTCTTGGCATCCCTGGGATGATTTCGGGGCTCATAGAAGAAACAAAAGGCCTTCCTTCATAGGGTTCTCAAGAATGCTAGCCACCCTAAAACAGTCATATCTAGGATAATCAAGATTAGAACAGGAAGCAGCATACACTGCTAAGGCAGGAAATTGATTAGATCAGCAAAGAGACAGGATGTTGCCTGTCTCTCTTTGAGTTAATTCTATGTCTCCTCCACAGGCCAATTGCTCTGAGTTAAAGGATTGTAAGAAGTTGCTTCATGAAAGGAGACTGAAGTAAAATTAATAATAAATATAGGGGTAATACTAAATACTACAGAAATTGCAATTAAACTGAAATCAGTCAGTAAAGATGAAGGAGGGAAAGGAAATCCAGTAAAAGCATGCAAAGCACTACTGTGACCTACAGAATATAAAGTTCTACATAATGTGCTTATAATAAAGGGAACACTTTCATGTAGTAGGTATACTTTGAAAAAGGCCTTGTTTGAGATAACCTTTTCTATACAACCTGCATTATCTAAATTGGATGAATTGAAATATATTGAACTGTCTTAATTTATTACCCTGTAATAGACAGAGTAATGCCTCCAGAAAGTGGTCCATCACTTAAATCCCTGCTATTGTGAATAGATTGCCTTACACAGCAAAAAGGGATTTTGTAGAAGTGATTAAGATTAAGGATCTAGAGTTGGGAGATGATCCTGGATTATCCAAGTGGGTCCAACCTAATCCAGGGCTCCTTAACATTAGATGGTCTTTCCCAGTGAGGTTCAGACTTAAGGGGGAATGTGACAAGAGATGAACCATCCAAAAGATGCAACGCTGCTACCTTTGAAGATGGAGAGGATGTAGCTTCTTGAAGATAAAAAGATAAGGAGATTGACTCTTCCTTAGAGCTTTAGAAAGAGCTACATCCCTGATATTCTTTCATTCCAGGTAAGTCTAGTAAGACCCATGTCAAAGATGTAGTTACACACATTAGATAATATAGTATTGTTTCCTTATCCCACCAAATTTGGGACATGTAAAGAACTAATATTGGCTCCTAATCTTTCACCAGACTATATACAAACATGAAAAAAATGATACAAATGAAACTCTTAACCTAAAATGACTATTTAACAGACACCCTAACATGAGCATTATGCTTATATCTAAAATGTTTTTTCAGAGACAGAGCAGATTTTGAAATAGGTGATCCCATGAAGAGAAAATAAAACATTCAGTAAGCACTTAAATAAAAACAATTGTGGCAGATTACCTACTTCTCTCAATGAATCCAACAAGAAATGATCATTAGTTTCATAGAATTTTCCTTGTGTTTGAGTACTTCCCTGACATTTCTCAACCCTTCCTCCCATAAACCTGATACTGACACATTTTGTAAAAGATGAACTTTTATGATAGATATTTTCTCCATGTTTTTTAGAACTCATTACAGCAACGTAATAACTGAAATTCTAGTTGCTAACTGTGAAACTGCATAGGGTCACATATATCTCAGATTTACTTTATGTCCTAGTGATTAAAAAAATAACTTAAAAAGAATTACAAATATTTCTTACTCACCACCTTGCAGCAAAGAGGCCAAAACCACCACATCAATCCAATGCCCAGAAGTAATAACAATACCAGGATAGCAATGAGGGCCGCGATCCCATTAGACTACAGTAGGCAAGAGAAAATAAAGGAAAATAAAGCAAGGCTTAGGACAAAAATCTTACATGCATATTACTGTAAATAAACAGTAGAAAATAATACACATAACATCAAAATGTCAAACCACATTTTAGCAATTTTAATTATCTCAAATCATTTAAATTCTATAAATTTCTTTCTACTATATTATACATATATATATATGTATATATATATATGTACACACATGTCAGGTTAAAATATAAAATTATAAATACAAAATCTTCCAAAATGTTACAGACTTTCAAATATGTCTTTTTAATGTAGAAAAATGTAGAGGAAAAAAATTACAATTTGGGGTTACAGAAACGGTTTTATAGGGATTTTTGTGTCTTAGTGAACATTGTATTGGTTCAAGCAGTATGGTATAGCTAGGCACAAGCAGCTCCTACCTATAATGTTATACTCAAGAGACTGAGATCTGAAGATTGCAGTTTGAAGCCAGCCCTGACAGGAAAGTCCATAAACTTTTATCTTCAATTAGCCACCAAAAAGTCAGAAGAAGAGTTGTGGCTCAGGCAGTAGAACAGTAACGCAACAAACCTCAGGGATTGTACTCAGGCCCTGATCTGTGCGTGCACACACACACACACACACACACACACACACACACACACACACACACACACTCACATACAGATCACACATATTCTGCATCACCTAGCCATTATGATAAGAGGTATATATCCTATGAAATTTCTCCCTATGAAATTTCTTCCCCAATATCAAGGTCAAGCATATGTCTTGAGATATAAGAACCCAGTAACTATATAATGTTGCTGTTGCATTGCTAAATTAGGAAGCTTCCTAATCTGAGACACGCAGCTATAAGAATTGAGAATGTCTGGAATACCCAATAACATTCCTACCAGGCCCAGCACTTATTGAAATAAATGCTCATTCTTTGTGCATTACAACTGTGAAGATAGATTGCTATAAATACTTACTTCCCTTTTTCTTAGAACTTAACACTCCATGTTCACAAATAAGGATAGGCAACTATTGACCACAAATCTGATAAAAGTTTAGTTGTTACTTTGTACTTTTTGTGCAAGAAAGGAACAGGAAATTTCTATGAACAGGAAATTCAGAAAATTGTGCTGACACTTGGAATATATATAAAGTAGAATGGCTAGTACTTTGTACCTATTAAGGATAGGTACTAAAAATTCTTGGTTTTCATTCACTATAAAATGGCTCTATAAGTAAAACGGATAAAACCAAAGATACTTCCTGATGAAAATGTACATTTATTATAATAATATTATCATCTTTAATTATTTCAAAAATGGTCTCAAAAAATTGAAAGTACAACCTATACATGTAATCTTTATTATATTAAAGTCAAGTGTGATAGAAAATAGGCTTATAGGAAGACCATAAGCCTGACCTTGACATGTCAAGACTGAGATACAGTCTCTAACTTTAGCTCAGTTAATTGGATACCAAATCCATTTCCTTTGTTTTGGCTCTCAGGGCCATTATCAGAAAATAGAAAGTCACAAAAGGGAAATCATATTATTGTTCATATAACTTTATAAACAAATTTAGGAAAGGTCAAATACATACGCTTCAGGCTTGTGATTAGACATCATACTACTACAAACAAAACTAAAGAGGAAGAGGAGTTAGGAACTAAGTAAAATAATACCCAGGTCTGCATCATGGGAAGAAATGAAGCTTTTCATTTCTACCCAGGACAGACCTCAGGTCAAAAGAATCCTAATTCAACATGTGATTGATACTTTTATTTAGCAAAATTGAATAAATATGACTGGAAAGCTGAAAGCATTTTTTTATTCATCTAGAAAGTATCTGATGATACCCATGCTAGAAGGGTCTTCACATAGCCCACAAGTGAGAGAGCTAAACCTTAAAGAAATAGCTGCAAATGTGAAAAGAGTGGGAGAAGACCCAACAGAACACTTGAAATGGGGAACTAACTCCACTGGCCACGTGGCTGAAGATTAAATGAAGATTAAAATTACTAGGCACTATCTCACTTAAGGCTTTATCCTGGCAACTCTTTCTGCATGGAATATTCTTCCATCTGATGGCGTTCAAGGCTCAGTCCTTCACCTTCCTCAAGTCTTGACTCAAAGCCCATCTCAGTAAGAACTATCTTGACCCATTCTTTAATATTATTTCTTGACGGTCCCCTCTCTCTTCTCTTCTCTTCTCATCCTTCCTCTATCTTGCCCTTTCCATCTCTGACACAGCCCATATACCTTTTTATGAAATCACTTCACTATTAAATTACTCCTATCCCTATTACCTTTCTAAGAAGTAACAAGACTTAGCTAAGACTTCCTTATAAGCAATCTATAAACTCTGGATGAATCATTCAATCTCAGCTTCTTGCATAAGGAGCTAACACATGGCTGAAAGACAAGAAAAAAAGACTTTTCTTGCTTTGGGAAAAGAGGTCTAAACAAAAGACAACTACAGATGAAGAATAAGAAGGAGGAAGAAAAACACACCATTTTAGTGAACTAAGCATTGAGAAAACTACACACAACAAATGTTTCTGACTTCAACCAACCACATTCTAGAAACTAGAAAACCTACCAATTACAGCATCCAGGGAAACCTACAAATTGCAAAACATACTACAGACAACATTATAAAATAAAAAACTATTTCCAAAATAGAAAGAAATAACATTAAAATGATCTAGAGAGTTCAAAAATGACACAAGAGTCCACCTGGATTCACTTATCCCTGTGGCAAAGGCTTGTGGTGACAAACACAACTGGCTCTCCACTGGAGATGAAACACTATAGTGTTTTATTTTGATTCTTAAGGGCGAGTATCTCCTAAATTAAAAAATAATAAAATCATGAGATTTGAGAAATCTTAAATTTTGGTTCTGGTCCTTAAGAAGACAGGAATTTTTTCCCTCCTTCCCTTCCTTCCTCCCTCTCTTCCTTCCTTCCTTCCTTCTTTCCTTCTTTCCATTCCTCTTTCTTTCTTTCCTTTTCTTCCTTCCTTCTTTTCTCTTTCTTTCCTTCTTTCTTTCTTCCTTCCTTCCTTCTTTCCTCCCTCCTTCCCTTTCTCCCTCCTTCCCTCTTTCCCTCTCTCAGCCTGCCTTCTTTCCTTCCTTCCCTCCCTCCTTCCTTTCCTTCCTTCCTTCCTTCCTTCTTTCTTTCTTTGGTTTTTCTTTTTTTTTCTTCCTTTCTTTCCTTTCTTTCTTCTTTCCTTCCTCCCTCCCTCCCCTCCCTCTCTCTCTCTTTCTTTCTTTTTTAATGTACAGTGTGTGTATATGTGTGCATGCACACACACATACATGCACATGTACACTTGTGCACACTAGTCTTAAAACCCTGGGCCTGGGTGTTATCCCTGAGCTTTTTGCTCAAGGCTAGCAACTTCTGGCTTTTTGGTAGTTAACTGGAGATAAGAATCTCACTGAGTTTCCTGCGATAGCTGAACTAAGCCAGGACCTCAGATCTCAACCTTCTGAGTAGCTAGGATTACAGACATGAGTCAGCAGTGCCTGGCCTGATTTACATTTCTTAATGCGGAAAAGGTACTTAAAAATAGTCGCCACATACTCATTCCAGTTAAGTAGTTCTTGTTTTCATGTTCTACAGTTTTATATCAAAGCTTTCTCTAAGTTCAAAAACTTAAATGTGTGGAAACAATACTGTCATATGAATCACATTTATATTTTAAAACATTGCATTTTAGGCAATAAAAATCAATAATCTCAACTAAAATACAGTTTTCAATGTAATTTAAGATACCAACAAGATATCAAAATCAAATTTATTACTTCTATGAGAAAGCACCCACAATTAAGATGCACAAAATACAAAGTCAGACATTAAGATACACTAATAGTTTGAAACAGGCTATACTAATTCTAATCTTCACAGCAGAAAATCATTTCTACATTTTTTTCTAAGAAATGTACCATCTCTAATTCTTTTATCTGGATTTTCAATATGATTTTTGAACTGTGGAGCAATCAAGACAAAATATTTACCAACTTAAAATTCCTTTCAAACAAAGTTAAGTTAAAAAAGCTAAAATACATTCTATGTAAATTTTTACTTGTGATATTCTCAAGTGGTATTCTTTGTTCCTTTTTCATTGTAGTAGTTAACAATATGGAAACTCTAAGACTTTCTAGATAGAGTTAAACTAGCTTTTTACTTACACATTGTGTAGCTGTGATTAATATTGAGCTTGAGATGATAGACTTTCCTCCATTAAAGCTCACTGAAACATTAAGAGTTCTAGAAGACAAATAAAGAAACAATGATAAAAAATAAATTAAAAAGCATAGGCTTGTAGGAGAGCCTTATCTTCTTATATAATTTAAAACTGGCCAGAAAATATACTTATAAAGTAAGGATCATTGCTTTTGATCAATTATTTCAATTTTTTCTTCTTTAGTTTAATATAATTCAATAGCCTTACTTGACTTAATTTTTCCTTCTTAAAAGCATTAGCATGAATAGTAAAATTAAGAAAACTCCTTAAGCCAGAGAAATAAAATCCCTTTCAGATTCACAAAAACCTAATTCAGGGGAAAATCCTTCAATCCAACTTACCTTATTTTTCCCTATCTCTAGATATTACTATCATCAAAGAGCAACTGTTTCAGAACACAAAATTTGAAGTAATATGCCATCAAGTAAAGAAATACAGAGAAAATACAAATGAAAAGGGGAAAAATGAAGAAAAACAGGAGAAACGATGAATGGATTTGTTGTACAACGGTTTGAGGATATTAAAGACAAAAACATTATAGACTCTAAAGAGAAACCTAAGTTTATGATCTCAGATATTAAAATATCCACACAAGAATAAAAAAAGGAACAACTTTTTGTTCCTGGCTAAAAAGTATTAAGTGTTGAAAAATATCTCTCATTTGAAAATACAGCTTCAACCAATAAGTACAATTTTTAAATTCAGGTTCTGTTAATTTATTACTTAAAATCAGTTCAGAATCTATATCTTAAATAAATAATACCTATAATAAGACAAATAACAAGAAGATGTTAAGGTATGTTAAAGAGATGCCACTGTGCTCTTCCTGTAAGCAGCCTGAGGTGACCTGTGAAAATGGTTCGCTACTCTCCAGAACCAGAAAAACCCACAAAATCATGCAAGTCACGAGGTTCAAATCTTCATATTCACTTTAAGAACACCAGAGACAGAGACCAGGCCATCAAGGGTGTGCATATCTGAAAAGCGACCAAGTATCTGAAAGATGTCACATTAAAGAAGCAATGTGTGCCATTCTGGCATTACAATGGTGGAGTTGGCAGGTGTGCCCAGGCCAAACAGTAGGGCCAGACACAGGGTCAGTGGCCCAAAAAGAGTGCTGAATTTCTGCTGCACATGCTTAAGAATGCAGAGGGTAATGCAGAACTGAAGGGTTTAGATGCAAACTCCCTGGTCATTGAACACATCCAGGTGAACAAAGCACCTAAGATGTGTTGCTGAACTTACAGAGCCCATGGTAGGATTAACCCATCCATGAGCTCCCCCTGCCACACTAAGATGATCCTTACTGAGAAGGAGCAGATTGTTCCTAAACCAGAGGAGGAGGTTGCACAGAAGAAAAAGGTATCCCAGAAGAAGCTGAAGAAACAAACACTTATGGCACGGGAATAAATTTAGCATAAAATAAATGCAAATAAATGTAAAATAAAGAAATACCACTGTTCCAAACCATTTTATAAAGTATATGATCATTTAATCAAAGCTATCTATTTACTAAAGCCAATGAGATTTTGTTAGTCTATACACTATTAGGTTTTTTTAATACTTCAAAGACAAATTCTCATAAAAATACTAAATAACAGGAACTGAAAGCCAGTAACTGCCTTAACTAGTTTGAATTTGTAGAATTGTGTTATTATAGTCTTTGTAATAGAAACATGAAAATTTTTCTTCTATTGTCAAATACTACTCATTATAGAAAAGACTAATCAGATGCAATATCAAGTTTCAATAACTATCAGAAATTTCAGTGACTATCAGAGAAGTGAAAGGAAAACGAGTGTTTTCTAGGAGCCAGATGATATAGGCATTTTATGGGCACCACGTTGATTAATCTTTATTAAAAGCCTTTGAAGTAAATATCAGTTTCAAAATCTTACAGATGGATCGCATATGAGATCTAGAATTACTATCTCACAGAAGGTAGTGCAAGTTCAAATTTTACCTAATTTTTAACTCTTTCTCTCATGCTACTGAGGAAATGCTGGGATGAAAACTTTTAAGGTACTTTCACCCTTAATATAATAGCTGTATTCATACAACAATAGACATAGGGACAGATACTCATGAAGTTCAAGTTACGTTCTCACTCAAAGTTCAGAAATACTCCTATTTAAAATATAATGAATATATTTCAAAAAATTAATTAAAAAATGGTTTAAACTGGGTGCCAGTGGCTCACACTACTAATCCTAGCTACTCAAGAGGCTGAGGATCGCGGTTCAAAGCCAGCCAGGCAGGAAAGTCCATGAGACTCTTATCTCCAATAAATCACCAGAAAATCAGAAGTGGGTGCTGTGGCTCAAGTGGTAGAGTGCTAGCCTGGAGCTGAAGAGCTGGGGGAGAGCGCCCAGGCCCAGAGTTCAAGCCCCACAACAAGAAAGAAAGAAGGAATTAAGGAAAGAAAGAAAAGAAAGAAAGAAAGAAAGAACGAAAGAAAGAAAGGAAGAAAGAAAGAAAGAAAGAAAGAAAGAAAGAAAGAAAGAAAGAAAGAAAGAAAGAAAGGTTTAGCTTGATTGGCCCTAGTGATTCATGCCTGTAATCCCAGCTACTCAGGACATCTGAAGACTGCAGTTCGAAGCCAGCCCAGGCAAGAAAGTCAGTGAACCTCCTATCTTTAATTAAACACCAGTAAAGCCAGAAGTGGACCTGTGGTTCAAGTGGTAAAGTGCTAGCCTTGAGCAAAAAAAGGTCAGAGACATCACCCAGGTCCTGAGTTCAAGCCCAGTATCAGCACCATAAAAGAAAAAAGAGAGAGAAAAAGGTTTAGCCAAATTTAGAAAAGAAAGAGAATTTTGAGTGTTTATATCCAATTAACTGAATTTTTGCTCTATTCCAAAACAAAATGCCAAGTGGCCTATTTAAGAAAGGAAATTTAAACATAACTGCTCATTCAGCATAACTGAGTGCCTTGTTTTGATTTGTTTTGTTTTGATGACAAAGCATAACTGAATCCAAAGATAAGTTTTCTTTGTTCCAAAGTTCTCTAAAGTGTTTACTAGATAGAAATCATTTGACAAGATAGGTCATGTGTTATTTGGAGGAAAGATTATTTTGATTCAGAATAATGCATGCTTGTTGGAGGTAATCTTACCTCCTCCTCTTCCCAATTTGGCAGTTAGATTTCACCAGAAAATAAGCCGGGTGTTGCAGAGTCATGCTTTTAATCCTAGCCATTTAAAAGCTAAGATCTGAGGATCAAGGTTCAATGCTAGCCCAGGAAGACAAGTCCAAGAGACTCATATCTTCAATTAGCTAGCAACAAGCCAGAAGTAGATGTGTAGCTCAAGTGGCAAAGCTTCAACTTTGAGCAAAAAGCCAAGCAAGAGTTTGAATCCCAGAATTCAAGCCCCAGTAACCCCTTATGCACATGCACAGGGAATTTAGAAATGAACCAGTTCTCTGCTCAGAGAAACATTGACAACTTTCAGTGTTTACCAAACAGAATTAGAACATGAGAAGTATTTTTAAATCTAAGTTCACTCAGTCTATGAAAATATGACTGGTATTAAGTAAAACAGACTTGGTATTAAGTATTAAATTTCCACAACTATGGAAATTTACTTGATTGTTCTGATATATGAACTTCATGGAAAGAATAGGACATTTTCCTTCCTATCTATAGTAGAGGCAATATCAAAAACAGCAACAATAATAATAATTACAAATTTTATTCATTTTTTTACTATGATCAGACACATCAACTCATCTTTCCCATTTCATTCTCACAGTAGTCCAGTGAGTGCCACCCTAGCATTATTTCCACCTTCCAAATAAAGAAACAAGCTTAAAAACCAGATTTTTTTTTCTGACTGTACACAGTCAAGAGAATTTGCTTCAGCACAGACTTTCAGTTCTACAATTTTCTAGCTTACTCCCCACATAGTTACTATAGGATCTCATTAATTTTTTCTCATGCATATTAATTTAATTCGCATGCATATTTATTTAAGTTAATCTTCCTGTTTTTTAAAATATAGTCATCTATTCATAGTTATGAAACTGTATCACCCTACTGTTAATTTTTCATTTCTCAAGCTGAAAAATGAAGAGAATTGTAATTATTTCAGTTATTCTGAAGGAAGAGCTTAATAAAATATGTTACTTCCTTCCTTTTTTTTTTTTTTTTTGGTCAGTCATGGGGCCTGAACTCTGGGCCTGGGCGCTGTCCCTCAGCTCTTCAGCTCATGGCTAGTGCTCTACCACTTGAGCCACAGAGCCACTTCCAGCTTCCTTCCCTCCTATTACAGAACATCTTGGTTAAACTCAACATTATTGCTCTTTTGAGCTGCATGCCTAAATCTCATGCCTAAAACCATACTTCAACTTGGTTTGTGAATGTTTGCCAATAAATTCATAGAATCATTCATGCTTTTACTAGTTAAATGAGCAAATATATTTTAATTGCCTACAATAGCAATAATAACTTATAAAAATTGCTCAAAATATGCTGTGCTTAGTAGCAGAGCTGCAATAGCAAAAGAAATTAAGTGTAATTAAAGGGAAAACAAATAGACAATTACAAAAGGAGTAGTTAAATAAAATACATAGTCACAGTGGTATTAGAGGACCTTGTGAGAGGAGAGCTTATCAAAATAGGCTTACCATAGTCACCTAGAAAGAATGGTCAGGAATCAGGAAATGCAATTTTAAAAGTGCCCATGCACACTGAGCATCTTGCTTGCTTAAGCAAGAGAGCAGCATAGGACAATCAAGTAACTTCATGTCATTTGCAATACCAGGATTGTAAGTGTAAGAATAAGGGAAAGAAAAGTGACCAAAATTATAAGAGCTTTAAACTACAACAGAAATATGGCACAAATTAGATTTCACAAATACCATTCTTGTTGATACTTGTACATATAAGGCATGATTCAGAATAATACAGTTTTAGAGTACAAAGATCAGCTAAGAAAGTCTCTTGTCTACTGGTCAATGGTGGCTCACATTGCCTAGCTACTAAAGAGGCTAAGATCAGAGGATGGAGGCTTGAAGGTAATCAGGG